GGGGAAGTGGCAGCAAGTGGGTGGGTGGGAGTGCAGCGACAGCTGGGTGGGAGCGTGGGACCCACGCCATTGCCTGCGGGCTAGGCTGGCAGAAGCGCAGAGCCTGAGCCATGAGTGCCCTAAGGCCTCGCTGCCTGCTGCTGCCACTCGTGGCAAGGGCTGTGGGCAATGAGGGAGGGGGTTGCATCTACTACTGCACTGAAAGGGGTATTAGGCACATCATTCCCAGTAATGTTAATGGCAGTTACTTAGGTTCACTTCAACAATAGCAAAGGCATTTTGCTATGATTGGTGCTGGCAGTTGAGTTACATTCCTTAACATACACAACATACTTCCTGGACTGGGATTATGCGACTGGTTGACAAATACAAAGCATTTCAAAGTTTTACATATCTCAAAGCCTGCCCTCTAGGAGAATTCTAATGTTCCTAGAGAGAAAGTTTGAATTTACTGAAGGCAACGACTGATTTTTGTTTTAAATATCCTATAAACAAGTGAAACGCAAAGAAGTGCAAATAAACTTTAGGTAAATATATGCAAAATTGTGCTTTTCATGTCACATTAGGCAAGCTGATCTTCTTTCACCAGCGCATGAACAGGCAGAGAGATGCCACCTTGCAATGGTTCTCAGACTATTTCAGTTTGCATACCACTTTGTTTGCCATGTGGCTGAGTGTGCTTGTGATTCCAAGTTACAGATAAAAAAGAAAGGCGATGCTTACTACCCTGTAATCTCACCAACAACCAAAGAGACTGCCATTCTTCCATTTCTATTTCCCCTTCTTTTCTGTTCCTATTCCTTCCTCTCACATACTGTAGAAGAGAGGTGCACAGCTCAATCTCTGTGGTGAGCCACTTGAATGGATCTCCACCGATATAAGTCTGCAGCATCTCTAAATCAGAAACTGGATTGCACATGTGAAGATTAACAAGTCCATGTGCAGTGAGGACACAGGACTTGCTGCTTTGTGCTTCAAATCCCTTTTCATTTAATAAAATGTTTTAATCCAAAACTATAGCAGACCAATGAGCTGGAGTAGATCCACTGCTGCTCTGTAACTTGGCTGCTTACCCCATTGCCATTGCTGCCACTGTCTTAGAGCCATCACTAGTGGAATTAAGACAAAGATATCTACAGCAGTATCTGCTATAAGCCATTTTCTTCTATACCTGTTTTATTGGGACAATGTCTTAAGAGCTGAAAGGACAAGCAAATGATGAAGCAGCACAGACATTCCTTTTCCAGGCTTATCCAAGGGGCTGCTCCTATTTAAGGGAATGGGACTTAATCCTGAGCTGATGGAAAGCAGAATTGCTGCATAGCATAGCATAGAAATCAATGCTAATGCTGACTTATGCTGATTTACTGCAGAGGAGGCCCTGAAAGCAGAATTCAGTCTGCGGGTTTTTTTTTCTTTTCTGAGATTTACAACAAGCTGATCTGTGACTTGCTGGAGCCAGCTCTGCCTGGTCCGAACCACAAGAGGCAGACGCTGTGGCTGTGTGAACACCAGAATGGTAATCCCTGCATCCAAGAACTGAACTGGATCCATGTCCAAGATGCTGACAACACCTGGAAGCTCTGAGGCTGGGTCTGAAAAACCAGAGCTTTGCCAGCACTCACCTGAACCAGAACTCCAGCCAGTCACAGGTTCTCTTCCAGCTGGATTCTTCACCTAAGAGGAGGCAGCAGTGAGATGGTCCCCAAAATGAGCGAGCTGTCCCTGTGCAACTTCACCAGCTCAGGGCATTTCAAGGACCAGAAGAGCAGGGACTGAATGATGGGGGCAGACAACATCAACATCTCTCTGCACACGCTGGGCTGCTGCATTGCTGCCCTGCCCCAGAACCAGCAGTCCAAGATGAAGCTGGTTGTGGTTCCCTTCTGGGACAGCAAGTTGACTTCTTCACAGGGTCAACATTAGCCAGTGCATGGCCATGTATGATGAAAACCTTCACGTGGCCAAGTTCTTGGCGCTCGTCAGCCAGCTTGTTCAAGCTCCTTCTGCAAAAGTGGTTCTCCTGTCCATGCTGTCCATCCTCAGGGAACACCGAGAGTTGGCCAGATCTCAGAAGCAGGCTCAAAGCAGGAAGTGGAACCTGAGGAAGTGCGTGAAGATGAAGCAGATGTGGCCTTGTATAACAAGAAGGCGAGTGGTGTCTGTCTTGCACCCTCATAACTGCCACAGCAGAAAGGTTCGCTTTGTGGCTCTGTCAGATTCCAATGAATCTGCTAAATACCATGTCATCAACAATCTCAGACGTGCACAATTCTGGAGAGAACATCTAATTTATGACAAGGACATGAAGAGGAGGAGGAGGAGAAGTCTGAGGTAACCAGATAACTCCCCACAGACAAAGCAACAGTCTCCACCTTCACAACCAAGCCGCTGAGCAGGCAGGCTTTAGAATGTCCTTTAAATAAAAATGGACTAATTTTGCTTCACACTCCCAAAATTCACTTACCTAATTCTAGCACTATTCCCTTCACTTCTTCCTCTACAGTGGTGTCACTGAAACAGGCAAGGTAGCTGGGAAATGCAATGTATCCTTGGAAACTAGCCTATAGGCTCAGCAGTCTTGTGTAAGAGGCATTTATGTCTCTTGTGTCTTACAATGACTCTGCAGGCTGGAAACCCAGTCCTTGAACACCCTGGTTTCAGTCGAGTAGATGGGAATCTGAACAGTCACAACAACCTGACTGAAAATCTGCTTAGGAGACTAATAAACTGGTGATTAAGACAACCAGTGAAACACCTGTCTGCTCTTTGGTACTGGAGTTTTGAAGGGAACTATGGGAGAGGAAAGGGGAGGAAAGTTTATGGAGCAAGGCCCTGTTGTGCCTCCGCACAGGTCCTGGAAGTGGTGTGAAGGGGACACAGCAGAACTGATGTTTCAAGTAATCTCTGGATTTCTAAATCATTTTAAACAAGTCAGATGGCAAGTCTGCTCCCATGTCTGGAGGGTCTTTACAAATAAACCTGGCATGTTTCTCACATGTAGGTAGTATTTCTGGAGTAAACTAGTTAGACTACAGCAGATGGTAGAGCTAAGATGGAAAGAGTACCTTAGTGCAAAACCATTGAGGGAGAGTTGGAAACAAGAGGCCAGGTGGTAAAGTGCATACAAGACAAGACAGGCTGTTTGTAAGGAAAGATGACCTATGGTTCACCTTTGCACTCCCTGGATCCTTGTCCTGCCCTGCACAAGGATTGTTCTTTTGTGTCATGTTACAACAAACTCAAGGCTACTTGAACTTGCTGCAATGGCCACGTGGAGCTGAAGATCAGCTTAGCCACTTCTCTGCTAATAGAAGGAGAACGATTGGTATAAAATAGCTCGAGCATCATTTGTATAGCAGAATGAGCCAATCAGAATTAGGGCCAGCCTATAATAGCACCATGGCAAAGAGGGGTCCCACTGCCTTGAAGGATCGGGCTTGGAGTCAATGTGTCTTAGGGCTATGGCTGATCCAAAAATTACAGTGGAAGGAAAGATAAGACATCACACATTGCTTCCAGCAATTAAACCTGCTTGCCATCTAATGCAGTCACCCTTTTTTATACAAGATAAAGATGACTATGAAAAAGCCTTGTCAGGGACAGACAGCAATGACAGAAAGCCCAGTACAAATATAATATATTGCTTGAAACCTAGAATATACCATTCATCAACAATGGAATAAATAAGCACTAAGAGTGAAGCTCAGACTGTTAACACTAGTGAGCCTGGTGAAATCCCTTGCAATAAATATGAGAAATAAATAGAAAAAAAGTTTTTAATACCGGTCCAAATTTGAACTGATTTGATCTTTGGCTTTTTTATGCCTGTGGCTCGCCAATAGACCACAACAACCCTTAGCAAAGTGTCTTTCAGATTAAATCAGTCTGGGCAAAAACTATTGTTAATATAGCGTGTGTCTGCAGCTTGGAGTAACAGGAAGAAAATCAGAACTAGCAGGCCTTTTAAGATACTTTTTTATAAAATTATTTGATTTTTGCCATATCCCCTTTTTATGGCAGTGACTCTGTACACAGATAGGGAGCCAAATTTGGCCCTTGAATAAGTCGGGTGCATCTTCACAATTTCAATAAACTTGCTCACCCCAGGTCAGAATTTAGCTCCTGTTATTCCTTTTCTAGTGTAGCCTTTCCCAAATGAGGTTGAAAGGTACAAGAAATTCCTTTCCAATACAAGTGCTTCTCATAGCTACACCCTAGCAGCTTCTAGCCTACTGTCAGTCATCTCACGCCCAAACCAACCTCTGCTGAAATCAACAGGAGTCTTTCCACTGATTAAGCTGGGATTGGATCAAGCACCTATGAAAATGGCATTGTTTTCTTTCCTCCTTGCTACTTGTGTTTCAACTTTTTTTTCTTCCAGCTGAGCCCATACTTGTAAGACTTGAGTAATTTTTTTTTTTGCCCTTCTCCAAATTACAATTGCACTTCTGTGTCTAGCCAACAGTTTCTTCTGCATGTGTTTCTTCATATCTGCTTACTGAATGACTGTGAGGTTGGAGGGAAGATCTTCACAGTTCCCTGGGTATAACAGTGAATGGGACAACAGGACTGCTGGATTCCAGGTCGAGAGCTGTTAGGAAGCATTCAACAGCGGCTTCATTGTTTCCTTGAGCTTGCAATACTTCTCCTAGGCGGTTCCAGGCTTTGTGATTGGTGTTCTCTATCTGGATGGCATCTTTCAGAATCTTTTGAGCCAGGTTATTCCTTCCAAGCCTGCTCAGTACTGGGCCCTGCAAAGAAACAACAATGGGGTATGAGTGGATAGCCATATTACCATTGCCAATTAACAGTGTGTGCTCCACAATTATCACACAATGGAAGAATCCACAGAATGCTCTCCTCCTCTTCCCCCAAGATGCTCAGATCCGTTGCAGTATTCCTTAGCCTGTGAGAGGATCTACAACAGAACGATTCATGAAGAAAAGAGGTTTCCCATATATCTAAGTTACATGTTTGGTTTTGGGGGTTTTTTTTAGTAGTGACTGGATTCAAGAAATGTTGAGAAGAATTAGTTCCATAGGGATGTGTTTCAAAGATCATATACAGCAAACAGCAATTTCAAGCACCTCCCATCCTCCTTTATCACTTCTTCATATTACATTCCCTTTGCGAGTCACTATCCCAATCTGGATCTCAAAAAGCTAGGGGCAGCGTAGAAGAGGGTCGCTGCTCCAAGAGCCCTCTATCAATTTAAGAAGACACATAAGCAGGTGCAAGACTGTAGAAGGAGCAGGAGGAGAAAGGAAGCAATAATAAGAATGTGTTCCTATAGGCCTGTCACAGTCTCACAAGGCAGCCTCCTATTAATTATACAGCAGTCAACTGATACCCAGCTCCAGAGAGCCACCTGGGCTTTACGTTCTACAACATGGAACAACAGTCGTTCAGTGACTCAACCAAAAGGTGCAGCTGGAATCAAGAGTTTCTTGTCCCCATTTCACCTGGGACCAGATACTGGAAGAGGCAACCAACCCTTTTTTTCATCTTGCCTGACAGGCGCCGATTGGCTTCTGCCTGCTCCCAGCCACTCTAGCTGCTAGAAGACCAATTCCCATTCCTTCCACCAGCAACAGCTGATGTTGGATGGCCTCTCTATGGAGCTCTTGGAGGCCTAAATTTACCATTTTTATTCTTCCAACAGACATCTTGTTTGAGGCAGCTTCACCAACATGCCTTCAACTGGTGGCCTCACACAGCCACTAGACTCTCTCCCACCAGGCCAAATAAGTATTTAATGCCTCAAATTTGGAGAAGTCCTACTCTTGGAATCAGGTTTGCAAAGACCGAGTTGATGTTTCACTGTTTTCTGTTATTAACTTCATGTGCTCTTTCCAACAACATTCCCATAACTTAGTTCTATAAGCTAGTTGGCAGCTCTTCACATTAGAATAGGTAAGATGTGACAACCCAGCTAAAAGAATTCAGTTTTGCACAGATGTGTATAGCGAATAGCGTGATAATGCTGCTCACTCATGGTGAACATATGTTGCTCAATGGAGAACTCATCTTTATAAGAATGCACACATCTCTTTACATGGGCTTGTAAAAAATATATGGAGATAGAGAGGTGTCAACATCGTTGAGGATTACGTGACACCAATTGTCCTTTTGCATGACTGCTTGTGTGGATTTGACAAAAAGCTTTGCTGGGCCTTATTGTATACAGCTGAAATTTAAGATGTGTGCAATATCCTAAAACTCTCATGATCACAACCTGAAACATTTGTCTAATAAGAGATGGGTAAAATAGCTTCTTGGTCTTAAAGAAGTGTTTACTTTACCCTGCTGCTGGGAGATTTAGGATGCATCACTGCAGCTAAGCCCTATAGAGCAGCAGTAGCATTACTGATAAATACAGAAACCCATTATTGTACCAGACGAAGGAATAAAGACACGACATGCTTTTAAGTAAACATAGCTATTGTCACCAAACCTTTTATCTTATTTTTTTAAAACAGGCACGTTATTTTGATCTGAAAAATCCATTTATGATAATTGTATATAAATCCCAAACTTTCAAAAACTAAAATGCTTTCTCTTTCTAGTCTACTTCCCTGTTAGGAAAACAGCTACCAAAAGTAATGAAAAGGCAATGGGCCAAACTTTGCTCTTCGTGTGCTCAAAACCTCTCTCTCAAATGCTGACTGAGTAGGCATACACAAAGGCAGATTTTGGTCCAGTGTGGGCAGCTGATAGGAAAAAGAATCTAGCATAATAAACTTGAAGATTCTGCATATATCGTTCAGATCCTTTCAGACACATTTTAGGATAGGAAACCTGAGGCTGGGACTTGCCCAAAGTAACAGTGACTTGCCCAAAGTAACAAAGCAAGTCTTTCTAGCCTGCCCTTGTAGATTGGGGTTTTTTTTGTTTTGTGGGTGTGAGCGCTGATATAGTTGAGTCTGAAACCCCACTGTCTAGGTTTTTCTCCCTGCAAATATTTCTGTGCTGCTCTTAAAAAAAGGGTGTCAATAAATATTGTACTTTGCATTATAAAATAATAATCTATGGTGCATATAGAAATGGTAAGAAAGTGCATGTTTTTAAATGCTGCCTCTGGAGCTCAGCAGAAGTTCAGAGGGCCTGACCCAATGCCCTTTGGAAGTCCATGGAAAGATGCCCATTGACTTTTGCGAGTGCTGCATCAAGGAGATGCTTTGGGGGAATTTTGCTCTCACTGGCATTTCTGAGTCTTGCTGGCAGTGGCTGACCTGCTGAAATGAAACATGTTTTGTAACTTGGACATTGTGGGAGCCTACGCACGGTGATTATTAGTGCTACTTCCAGTTCTTCTGCAATCCCAATTTAACAAGCAGAAGTATTTGCATATTAAAGGGACAGGCTGAATGTTTGCACTGACACAACTATTCCTACCTTGCTTGGCTATATGGAAGAGTTAGAGACCACAGAAGCCTTAAACCAGCAGTAACATACGCCACTGAACACTTGGTTTCCCTAAGGTATTTCCATTTGAGAGCCACTGAATGTCATATTTCCCAATGGAGTCTGGCTAGCTGTAAACAGTGGCTGCATGTTGTTGCTATGTACCGTCCAGCTGGAATCTGCCTACAATGCAAAAGAAAAAATATATTCGTAGAACCACCCACTGACAGGCAATTTACATTTTTAGCTGGAAGATTTTTTACATTTTTCTAATGAAAGTTAAGTTCCTCAGTTTCCATAGAAACTCATCTGCTTAATGTGCATGCATAATTTCATAAAATCAGAGATCCAAGGAAGATTAGCAATTAGTATAAATAAAAACAGGCAAATGATTAAGGGTTTCATTCTCCTATTCTTTCAGGCAAAAGGAGGGGTTGTGTTTTTGTTGTTGTCTTTTTTTTTTTGCCATATCAATGCAGAAATCAGTGCTTTCTTTTTCTAGTTCAACAGCACAATTCTTTTGGTTGTCAATAGGGCTTTTAAGAGCTACCTCCTTGTCCATTTATTACAGTTAACACAGATGGTTAGTATATCCGTGCATGAGAATTGTTGAATCTTTTGCCATTTATTTCTATTGTGCAAGATCAGGCCTTTAAAGGAGCAGGGAAAGGGACAGGGTTATTTTTAAGTTGATGTGCATTATAATGCTTTTTTGAATTTTAATTTTAAGACTTTGGCTTCTCAGTTCCAAGAGACTTTGTAGCATGGATCACCCCCCAGAACTATGTGAAATAAATACCTTATTTCATATGTTAATTATTCTAATCAAACTATCAAAACTCAAATATTAATCCATCCTATTTGATCTGAGGGTAACTATGAGAAATCCACTTAGTGTTAATTTCTCTCTCTTGGTTGAAGATAAATTCAGTGCTTGTGAACCCACAGTGACAGCAGTGGAAATCCTGTTCTTTTTCTCAATCCACAGGGCTATTTACATCATTGACATTTGTATCAAAAACTGAATTTCTTATTTTCAAAGCCTGCTTTTTGAAAGAAATGGCTGGAAAGAGAAGCTGGGGCAGCTTATCAGTGCAGTGGAAGAACTTAATTCGGTATTGTGACTTAGAGTCTAAGGCCTGTAACCAGACTCATAAAATTGCCCTGGATGAAGGAGAAAAGGGTTTGTGGGGTGACATTTTCAAAAGTACTCATCTACATGGGAAATGGAAGGCACAAAACTACAACTTTAAAACTGGCCTTGAATTTCTTTCGGTGCCATCTGGGAGATGACACTTGTATTTCAGACCAGGACTCTTTTGTGAGTACAGGCAGTTGTTCCAGTTTCAGCTTCCACTGAACCTCAGCAGAACTGGTTCTGGTTATAAATTCTCCCTGGTGCCTCTTTTACTTTATAAGGCATGAAAGAAGTTCACAACGGGGGTTCAGTTTGTGTGTTAAGATTTTCATTTAGAGATATTCTTCCCTCCTCTGTCTTGGAGGGCATTATGGATGACTGAGGAATTGCAGGTTTTTTCAAATGCATGAGAAGGGTAGGTCATTTTTAATCAGATGGTTGACTCAAGTATTTTATAAACACATAGCAGACAAGCTCCTTGGCTGCTGAGACGTGAAAAAAACCAAAAATCAAAAGAAAACTGCATTTTACCAGAAGAGGCAGTGCATTAGTTTGACTTGGCTCTGCAATGTCTGTACAGATTGCGTACTTCAGCGGGGCTTTTTGGCGCTTTTATCTAATAGCTGATTCAATCAGCTATTAGATAAAAGCACCAAAAAAAGCCTCGCTGAAGCATCTGATCTATACAGATGTTGGGCAAGCTGGGTCAAACTAATGCAATGCCCCTTTTGGGTATGTACTGGGCTCAGTGCGGGGGCACACCAAGTTTAAAGTGCTAGTTTGTTTGTTGTTGTTTTTTTACGTCTGTAAGCAGCCCTTTTGTCAAAGTCTCAGCACCCTTTGGGAAGGGAATGAAACCTTTCAATCCATTTCCCACTGTTCTCCCAGGAAAAAAACAAAGGAAGAGAGCGCATACCAAACCTAACCCATTTACTGGAGGCAGGGGTGGGGGAACAACAAATACCTTTAAAATGATCCCTATATATTATAAACAGCATAAGGGAAAGGGGATGCAAATAATGTGGATCTTTCTGGTGTACATATCAAAATCTTTATCTACATCCTGTCTGTTTCCCACTTCTCAGGTGAGAGAGCTGAGCTTTTGCCCATTATGGCAAGGGTATCTTAAGGTTTAGGTAGTAAGAAAGATGAGACTGCACTCTTCTTACAAAAGAAAAAGGTGGACTTCAATTAGAAATCTGGCCGGAGAGCATCTTCCTTTTATGTGACCTCTGTCAGCGGTGTTTGGCACCCACAGTATGAAGTTCTATTTCAGAAAAATGCCCATTTAAAAACAGGACTGCTTCTTCAGCAGCCTCCTTTAAAATGCCTTTCAGATGCATTTGGAACATTGTGGTAGTAATCTCACATAATGGAAAGTCTGCGTTGCTACTGGGCGATATACACTTCTGTAATTATTTAACAGTCAGAGCAAGTTTTAAGCAGAATTTGTTGCATAAACCATGATATGTCAGACAGCCCATTTGGAAAATGGCAAAAGACTAACCCTAGACATTTGAAGCTTCCTACAATCAAGGTAAAAAAAACCTGACAATACTCAGATCTATTTCAGAGGTGTGGGGATTTTTGAGCTCTGGGTGGAAAAAGGGGGTGGTTATGCTATCACCTGTCCATACCAGAGTCTGAGATGGGTCAACTATTTAATCTTGCATTATTTTATTCTGCACAAATCATGGAGGTAGTTAGATCTAGTGCCTTTGAAGGTCTCCCATAAAAAATACATGAAACATAAAGAGCTCTTCGGAAGTAATCTGTGGGCACCTGCCAAGCACACTAAGCCACAGAACACATGACTTCATTTGCCACCTTGCTACTGTGGAATGCTGGATGCCAAATTCTCTTAGTTATGCTGCTGTTTCTGCAGTCAGTGCAGCTATTTCTGACGACTGTCCCCTGGAGCAGCATCTCCTGTCAGTCAGTGAAGCTGAAGTCCTGCATTTGTAAAGACTGAGGGGGGGAGGCAGGAGGAAGGGACTGCAGCCAGAGGAAAAAGAAAAAAGGAAAGCAGAGAAACAGTGCTCCACCACCACTTGCCCATCCTCTGGCTTCTTTGCAATTAGGCTTCAGACCATGATACTACGCGGACACAGGCCAAACAGACTGGAAAGGTCATCTTGGACCACTTAGTCTCTCTGTAGCTTTCCGCACAGTCGATCACAAGGTGAGTGAGGCAGGGCCATGTCCACAGTACAGTTGCAGTAAATGGTGCAACACTGCAACAGCTTTAACTATTCTTCTCCAGCAAGAACCAGAGAGTACAGAAGTGCGACTGCTGACTGCTTCAGGGCCCCTCCCACACTTACCCAACTGATTGGTGAAGGGGACCTACTGCTTATCACTCCCCATCTGCTCCTGATTGGCGGGGAGGAGAAAACTGCAATTTTAAATATAATGCCATTTTTTCCTTCCGTGGCTGATTGGCCAAGGGGCCCTGGCAGCCCCAATGCTTGCCACTCACCAGTGAGAAGATAAAAATGGCGCCATATTTAAAACCACTGGTTTCACTTCCCTGCCAATCAGAAGTGAGCAGGGAGCAGTAGGGCACTTCCACCAATGAGTGGCAGAGGTATGTGTGGGGGAATCCATGGGGAACCTGCAAGATTAAAGGAGCTGCTATGCACCCCACTTCCGCTGTAAATTCAGTCGGTCCCTAATGCTAGCACTTACGTGGTGAGATACCATGTGCTCTGCTGCCATAATATACCAGTGGCAGCAAGTAGCCTTCATTTAAAGCTGGGAAAGACTGAAGTGAAGCTACTTAAACATGACAACACCTTTTTTAGACACTCCTTAGTCCTCCCCTTTCACCAACAACATCAAGGTTCTGCCTGACTTACTGCTAACCTCACTTAAGAAAGTGGCTGCTAAGAAAAATGCCTTCTTGCACCTTCAACCTCCCTTCTGCCCCCACGACACGGATCTGGTCAGGGTAAGCCATGCACTTATATCCAGACTGGATTACTGTATCTGACACTAAATAAGGCAGTGGTACAAAGACTGAATGTACCATGGCCAGCTTTTTGAGGTGGGGGGAGAGGGGGTCCTGATCCTCAATACTATCAATGTATGGGGCCCCAGCTACAGTCTGCTTCTCCATGCATGGCATGCCAAGACAGCTATGCTCTTTTGGGACAACATAGCTTACAAAGATCACTGAATGGGAGGCTGGTGATAAAACTACTCTGAGTTGAGAGGGCTGGAAAGAACATGAGAATCCTCAGAGGTGATTTGATTGGTACAAAGTCAGATCACTGTTGGGGCCTGCTGCAAGTCCCTTCTCTATTTAAAAAAAAAAAAAAAAAGTTTTGAAAAAAAAAAAAAAAAAAGTTTTGAAAAAAAAAAAAAAAAAAGTTTTGAAAAAAAAAAAAAAAAAAGTTTTGAAAAAAAAAAAAAAAAAAGTTTTGAAAAAAAAAAAAAAAAAAGTTTTGAAAAAAAAAAAAAAAAAAGCTTACTGAACATAATCAAAAGAAGTGGGGGAGGAGGGATAGAAGGCAAATAATTTGAGAGAGAAATACAAAGCATCAAAGAGTCAAAGCTGCAAGAAGCTCACTAGGGATTTCACCAGGCAGATGTCATTTAGCAAGCATTTAGATACAGTGCCACTGGTTTTACTGAAAACATGACAGGAGACAGCACAAAGAAGGAAGGAAGGAGAAACAAAGAGACTGCAGAAAAGAAAACGACTAACAGAGCAGCCTTCCCTCTCCTCATCTATGCTCTTAGCCCTTCCCATCCTCCAGCACGTCTATGCTGGTAGCTCATAATTGAAAGGGACCTAATTCTCCAGGACTCCCTCTGAGCATCAAAGGCAAACCCCCATCTATAGCAAAAAGACTGCATGGAAGCAAGGCACTGTGCTCCACCTCCAGCCCTGCTGTATCTATTTTGGTTCATCAATTGTTAAGAGGCATGCTGGTAGCATGTTTGAAGCTTAAATATGATAAAACATTTATTGACATAAAAAAGCAGACCCTAAGGCAGCAATTCGCAAACCAGGAGGCTCTGATCTCTTCCCAGGGAGGCTCAACCAAGCTCAGGGAAAATGAAAAGAGTATTAAGTTTTTTTTCTCTCTATCTTACTGGATAGTCATCACACTTGGACTTCAGTGAAACAGAACTGTTTGCTGCATACTGAATATTCAGGACAGTCCTGCTCCCACTAACGACTATACAGAAATGGAGCAGCAAGCTAAATCACCTAACAGACTGTCTGATTCACATGTTTAAAAGAGACTATGAAAGTGCACCCTTTGCTCCATGCGTGCTTTCCTGGAGGAAGGCAGGATGTCTCCAAGATCAGATCACAGCAAAAGACAGAACCCAGGAGTCTGATTTCCCTCCTACTCAAAATCCACTATTACTTTATTTTCTTCCTAAAGCTGGGGACAAAACTTCAGAGTCTTGACTCTGAGCCCTTCATATGCTAACCACTGACCTTCATTTATTTCCAGCTCTGCAGAGTAGAAGTGGGAACAGACTGCCATGGTCAAAGGAAGCATGGAGGCAGTGTGGCAAGTAAGGGCAAAGGATTCTGGGAAACCATTAGGGTTGGTCTTTGAAGCCTGGTTCTCCTCTTTGCAGTCTTACACACTTCCTGGCTTTTTTGCCTTTCTGCTCTACGTTTTCTTTGTCAGCAGAGGAAAACACAGAAGGGTTTTACACTTAGAAGTGGTATATGGAAGGTCTGTCGAGGAAAAATGGCTATGATTCTAGTGGGTTTTCCATTGCAACCATTTATTTGTGAAAGTGTCCTTTGTGGGTGGTGGAGAAAATCTCAGATCCCTGATTACACCTTAACCAGCTCTGGATTTTCATCAGCATCTATTCCAGCCTCATGTTTTCTTATAAATATTTACACGGAGAGGGTCAAATACCTTTCCTGTTTCTCCAGAGGAGGAGGAAGTCTCTGGAAAAATAAGAGAAATCATGCTGAGAATCTACTCAGCTCAGATATCTTCCACCAGGAATTTGAGCAGCTCTGTTTTCTTTTAGAACTTCTGTGGTCTGGTTCGGTATGCTTTGCAGTTATGCAAAGAAGCAAAGTTAGAGAACAGGTGCCGAATTCAGAACTTTAGGATGGCAGGGAAGAGGGAAAAATGAACAGACATTGCCTTCATGAGAAATGAAGAGAGAACCCTTCCTACTTTGGGGAGAGACCCTGAAGAGTTTTTCCATTGCCAAAATGTTAGTTGTTGAATATCTGCAACAAGCTGGCTTGCATTTGCTGTCCCACGGTCAATTGGCAACTCAAAAAATCTGTCCTTCAGTCATCTCCAAGCCTCTCATTTGCAAGGAACTAAGACTGACTAAATATTCTTAATATTGACTCTGCTTTCTGCATCTCCTTTTACAGCACTGGATGAAGTGAGCTTCAGCTCCCAAAAGTGTGTGCTTTATATTATATACATACATACATATCTTGGTTAGTCTATGAGGTACAATATTCAATAGTCTTAAGATACTCCTACTCAGAAGGTTGCCTGTACACAGCCAATCTTGCCTTAGTGGCCCAGCCATTAACAGGATTTCATAAACTATCAACCCCAGTTCTGCGGAAATTTACCACTAAGTTCATCACCTGCCATAGTCATTGTGAGCACAGAGCTCATCAAACTGAGCATTGTGCTTAGTAATTCCCTTAAGACAGCAATGGTATGGGGAGAGCAAGGCAACTTGTAAGATGTAAGCAAAATATATCAACATCTATGTTACAACAGCCACAGATAATGGGGCTTCACAAAGCAGGAATAAGTCTGCTGTGGCCGGTTTGAAGATTCAACTGGAAAATGCCCATGAACTAATCTAGGTGCAAACAAGCATCTCCTGAACAGAGCAGATTTGCTTGGCCTTCCACAACTATAACACACAATATTCATCATGTTGTACAACTACAGCCTGAACCTCAGAATACAGTCAGTGCTGTAGCATCTGCTAGAAGATGCAGAGAGATCTAAATGGGAATGCACCAGAGTACTCAAACTAGCCCATCCATCTCCCACTCCGGCTCTGCAATGCTGGGGAGCCTGTAGGGAGTGTTTCTTTATCTCCTTTTAACCTGAAATGTTTCATAAATCATAAACCTTTATGCATGAAGAGATTGTGTTGAATTATAGATAGTGGTGTATTTTCTCTTACGTGCATAAAAGGAGAGAGAGAGTCAACTCAATGAGAAGATAAAGAATTAAAACCTTTCTATACATATTGCATGTGCATTAATGGGATGGAGGTGCAGTGGTCCACATAAAAATGGTATCAGACAGCTTACCATACAGCAGGTCTGCACATCCTGGAGGAGCTCCTGCTTCCTTCTGAGTGTGGTCAGCTCAACACAATTTGCTGGCTTACTGAAAACTGAGAGATTTTGCTACTTTCTGTCTGCTGGCTTGTGACACTGCACCACAGTGGCAAAACAGTATATTGCTAATAAAATTAATTCCCTTTGGTCTTACATGGGAGTCCACAATGGTTACATGGCTCAGAGTTTAGGGCCTTGTCTGTGAGAAGTAGCTGTCAGAAGGCAGCAAAGACACAAATCTTAATGGAAGAGATGGAGAGGCAGATATAGGTTTGTACAGATACAAAAGGCCCATTAGGTTAAGTCCCTCTCCCTGTACCACATGTACTGGATATTATACTGATATTGTGCATAGGTAGATTATACCTGACAAATCTTGTGTCCTTCTACTACCAGGTAACTAGCCATCTGAATGAGGGACATGAGGTTGACGTGATTTACTTAGACTTCAGTAAAGCCTTTGATTCTGTTTCCCACAGGATTCTCTCAAACAAACTGGAGGGTGCTGGACTTCACTAGTCTACAATGAGGTGGGTGGGCAATTGGCTTAGAGGCTGCTCCCAGTGGGTGGTAATTGATGGGCTGGCCTCATCCTGGAGGGCCCTTTCCAGTGGTGTTCCCCCAGGGATCAGTGCTTGGACCCGTGCTCTTTAATATATTCATTAATGACTTGGATGAGGGGGTGGAAAGCTCAATGATTAAGTCCATGGATGATATTAAACTGTGGGAAAATGCAGGCACATTGGAGGATAGGGTCAGGATCCAGGACGACCTTGACAGATGGGGCTCATGGGCGGAATGGAATCAGATGAGATTTAACAGGGATAAGTGCAAAGTCCTTTGTCTGGGTAGGAAGAACCCTCAACACAACTACATGATGGGAGGTGGTCCACTGCTTGGCACAGCATCTGAATGAGACTGGGGGGCTATGACTGACCATAAGGATGAATATGAGCCAACAGTGCGGTAAGGTTTCATACTTTCAGAGTTGGTAGGGTCAGAAAGAACCTAAGCAGATCATCAAGTCCGACCCCCTGCCACGGCAGGAAAAGGTACGGGGGTCAAATGACCCCAGCAAGGCGTTCGTCTAGC